GAAACCGCCCCATAGACAACAGCAGCGTAGAAAAACAAAATCGGGGCCCCCTCCAGCAACAGCGCAACCCGTGGAGGCGGACAGACGCTGAGAGTTCGGCTGTCCGAAAGGCTGCCGGGGAGGGAAAAAGTGGACTTGCGAGAACCGCGGCGACGCAGGGAAGAGACCAGGACACGAAAAGAAGGTAGGAGTAGCCGAAACTCCACAGCGTGAAAAGACAAAGAAGCAGAGCATAAGCGACCCAATGTGTGTGTGTGTTTGCGTGCGTGTGCTGGCATACTAGCTAATGCCAAAAGGCTAAACAATTAAAAACTAGGTTTGGTGACAGGTGAGGCCCTGCTAGATGCCAAGCGGCCTGAGAGGCTCTATGAGTTGGTGCGAGGGGATAACGTGGCCACTGAAATGTTGTGGCAGGGTGTTGGCCTCTCGGTGACAGTTAAACATAAGATAGAATGGGAGTGACAGGTGAGGCACTCTCCATGCCACATGCGAGGCGACTAACTATGATTTGGCCCGAGGGGCGCAGTACCTCTGGGTATGAGGATGGGTGTCGGCCTCGCGGGACCACTAACCTAAGGTGAAGAAGCCAGGGGGGGAATACCCAACTAGTGGACACCTAGGACCCTGACAGCCAGCCACAGCTAACTAAGAGGGGAGAAAAGGTAGCGTAAGAGAGGACGGAATTGATGAATGCGTATGGAAAATGTGAGGTGAATGAGGAAGTACCGCAGCGCCGACCGTAACTGAGGTGCAGAGGAAGCATGACGGAGACCAGGTGGTCCGGCCGTATGGAGCATGACCGGCAATAGGTAATAGAAATACGAGTTGACGCAAAGCCCACGGGACCCAGTGCGAGCATGCGTGAGTTCGAGCGTGCGCGTGTGTGTGTGCTGGCATACTAGCTAAAGCCAACAGGCGAAACAATTAAGACTAGGTTCGGTGACAGGTGAGGCCCTGCTAGATGCCAAGCGGCATGAGAGGCTCTATCTATGAGTTGGTGCGAGGGGATAACATGGCCACTGAGTGTTGTGGCAGGGTGTTGGCCTCTCGGTGACAGTTAAACATAAGATAGAATGGGAGTGACAGGTGAGGCCCTCTCTATGCCACAATGCGAGGCGACTAACTATGATTTGGCCCGAGGGCGTAGTACCTCCGAGTATGAGGATGGGTGTTGGCCTCGCGGGACCACTAATCTAAGGCGAAGAAGCCAGAGGGAATTACAACTAGTGGACACCTACGACCCTGACAGCCAGCCACAGCTAACTCTGGATGTACCGTGGGACGAAAACGGGTTTGCCGTAAACAAATATGAAAGTGTCAAATCTGGTTGTGGTTGATTAGTGAACATCCCCCATAGACCATAACCATTATCAAGCCGGAAATCGCAGGTAGTAAAATTCCGAGATCGTGGAAATC